CAGGGTCCTATTATCCTCTGTATCTAAAGAAGACAAACGGGCTAAATGATGAACTCTTCCCCTCTGGATAAAGATTCCTACACTAGGGGCTGCAAAACTGTGACTAGGACATAAGAGGCTTTGACTAGCAGCTGCAGAAAGGTAGGCCTTAGAGAGCTGATTGGAGAGACTCTCTGTCACCAGTTCCAACAGACACCATTGTCAACATGGCCTGTGGCCTCATTAAAAGTGCCGTAAAGATGCAGGTCTGAAACAATGCAGCCACTGTAGAGGTTTGCAGAAAAAAATGGAAAGATGGATGCCAATTATCCACGAAGTTGTGAAACTATCTTCGAAATCAAGATAAATATGGTCGAATCAAAACAATGTGTTGATGACAGTGTTTATTTCTGCTAACTGTAGATGGATGCATCTGGATTGAAAAACAGGTCAGCTGCTTTATGTTTTCCCAAAGCAGCACTCTTAAGAGTGCCAGCTGGAACTGGAATCCCAGCATATCTGCAGGATCAGGCTTGTGTTGCAAGACTGGGTAAGATTCAGAATGGCCACCTCAATCTTTCTGAATTGATTTTTTCTGATTGCCACCAAGCTTTCATTTGGGTCAAAACGGGCTAAAAGAAAAACTGCATTTGGCATAGACAGGAAAAGTCAAAGCGTTTCTTAATTTATTTTCAGTTATGAAGTGCAGTGTTAAGCCATACATCCTAACATTGTTCCCTTGTTTCTTAACAATTTTGTAATTGCAAGTTCATATTTATTGGCAGACAAGCAGCAGTAAAAAATGACCTGAAGATCATTGAAGTTTACCAAAAAATATAGAAGTAAATGGAGGCAGTTTACTTACCTCTTGTCATTATGTTTTTTCGTTTGGATTTTTCATGCATGCTTTTAAAAAAAAACATTTTCTCTGGCAACCAGAAAAGCAAATACAAATCATATACCAAACAATGTATAAGTGTAAAACCAGGCAAACAGAAGAGCACATATCTTGGGGAAGGAATTCAAATCACATGTATGTCATCATGTGTGTCACATTTCAAAAGAGTTTGCCTCAGCTAATTTAAAATACGTGTGTGTGTGTTTTTTGGGGTATATGTCCACCAGTCATCCACGTAGGATAAGCTTAAAGAGGGAATGATGAGGCCAAGCAGCAGCTACTGGCGGCCGGTCGGACAGCTCTGCATAACCGTGCCAAAATAAACATCTTCTCCACAGTCTCCTGTGTGGACATGACGTAGATGTGTGTGCGTATCGTGTGTGTGCGGCTTGCTATGGTCTCTTCAGCCTCTAAAGTATCTTCTCATTTGTATTTGTGTGTGTCTGCATGTGTCTACAAAACCAGTCGGGACAATTCAAACCCTCAAACTTCTGAATTACATGTTTTCTGATCTTCCGCTGTTTTCCCCCTTTACATATAAATCAGACCCTCAGAGACATATGGAAAGAACCACAGGCTCCATTACGGGTACTCTGTCCATTAAAAACACCAGCAATGTACTCCAGTGGCCACAATTCTGCCAGTCCCTATCCCCACATACCCCTAAATTTCACGCACCAAAGATAAAGGAGCAGTTAAGCAACAAATGTTGAAAACATACATTGGAAAGTTAATTCACCACTTCTTCTGCGACACCCGTGAAAAAGTCTGAATACGTTTAGCTGCAAATCTTTGTGCTAATGTTTGATTTATTGGCTTTATAAACAGTTAAGTCTCTTATGAGAAAATGTGTCATGTTTGTTTTATTCCCTCCGTTTTTTCCGCACTCAGATGGTGAAAAACACGTAAAATGATGTCCCAATAGCTGGTGCTAGAGGCAGATTTCATTTTGGATGATTGTGCACCTCCCAACATTTGCCACATGAAGTGAAACAGAGAGAAGTCTAAACTGTAGCCAGATTTATGTATGCATGTTGTACTTCCTCTGTGATTTTTTCACTGTTCTCTGCTGTCAAAAGCAGGAAGAGTTTGGAACAAATCAGACATATACTGTACCTGATGTTATGAAATAACGGTATGAAGCTATTGCCAAAAGCATATGTGATATACATCATAAACACTTCATACTTAATTAGATTTGGTAGCTCTGTAGAATTCCATGTAAAACTTGAAAACACATCAGAGTTTAGCAGTCTATCATACATTTAAACTTAAAGCTGTTCTCCTGCTACTTATATAAATAGATCCCCATGCTAGTCACCTGTTGGCATGTTGGCAGGCTTCTGAAACCTCAAATTTGTTTTCTTTACTCAACTCAGAGCAAAGCGTAATTTACGGCATTAATATTATGCTGGACTGGGTGTCTATTACTGAGAAAACAAGTCAAGTGAGAAATGGCGTTATTTTCTCCTCCACACAGAGAGAAATAATTCAACTTTAAGACAAAACTTAACTGGTTTTACCACAGGCATAAAGACCTATCTGTCTTTATTATGCAGTTTAAGGTGAGTTGCAAACATACACAAGAAAGAGCACATCCATCCATCCATCTGTTATCGTAACCGCTTATTCCCTAATGGGGTCGCGGGGGGACTGGAGCCTAACCCAGTAGTAAATGGACGAGAGGTGGGGTACACCCAGGATGGTCTGCCAGTCCATCGCAGGGCCACACAGAGACACACAAGGACGAACAACCACGCACACTACAAGAAAAATTCATGCAAATAAAACTTTGAAATGTATGATCCCTTTTCCATTCTGGGGTTTAAACTGACCAGCTAAAGGCCGCAATCAATCAATTTCCTGCTCAGCGTTTAGATCAGTTCATTACATCTTCCACAAAAAAAGAAAAAAGCCCAAAAAGGCTGCGTTATACTACATTGAACACACCTGATTGAAAACTTTGCACAGAAGAAGAGCCTGCCTGCCCCCTTACATATAAAGTAAGATGTTGTAATGTCTGTGTGACGTGGGGTAAGTTATGTTTAATCAAAAATAGCGTATAAGGGCCGCAGCGTAGCCTAATGGCTAGAGCGGGCAGCCCATATGCGGCACCTCCGCTCGCACACGTGTCCTGGGTTCGAATCCAGCCCATGGCCCTTTCCCGCAGGTCTCCCCCTCTCTATCTCTGCCCCCTTTCCTGTCAAGCTACTGTCATTAAAGGCCACTAGAGCCAACAAAATCTTTAAAAATATATATATAGCGTATAAAAAACAAAATTTTACAAAGTGAAATGTCTCTTAATGGAACAGCTTCAAGAACATGTTTGGCTTTTGACAAAACAGTTGTGAAAACAGTTTGCTCTCTGAGGAAACTACCACAGGCAGACTTATTCATCAGTCTCCAGCAGCTACAATTAAAGGAAATATTTCCAAGCTCAGGTCATGAATGATTTGCCTTAGACAATGCCCTATTACAAATGTATTTTTCCACTTCATCTTAGAAAAATATTAATATGCCGAATATTAAGAGGCCTGAAGCAGCTTTCAGCCAAACAAACCATGGGGACTTCCACCTGTGGGAGAGGATGTAAATGAAGCCTGACTGTGACCGCTGTGTGGGGTGTGTGTGATCTGCTGGGCAGCTGGCGGTAGGTTCCAGGCCATTTGCCCCAGCATTATTCCTGAGGAGAGAGTCCATCGCTTAGACTGTGTGGGGAAAGAGCTGGAGCTCAGCAGCATTACAAAATCAAAGGCATGCTGGGGCTGATAATGAGTTTGTACAGTAAATCAATGATCAAAAAAGCACACAGACCCTTTCTGGACAGTCTTAGGTTCACATTAAAAAAAAACTCTTTGGGGTTTTGTGAACCATACAAAGCATTTAGTAGTATATAGAGTCTCAGACAACCACAGAAATAAACATGAATATTACAAACCATAAACCAAAAGACATCCTCCATCCCCTAGTCCACCACACAGACACCAGTGAAAGAGAAATCCCAAATTACCACTTTATAAGAGCCGTCAGCAAACAGTGACCTCACGTCTACAGCAGATTTACTCAAATTCTAAGCTCTTGACACCCACCGCAGCAAAGAGCACCCCCATCCTCCTTCTTAGCATGCTCCCATAAGTGTTACCATACCAGTGCTTCCTCTTTTTGCTGTGCTCTGTCTAACCTACCCTGTCAAGTGAGCACCGAAGCTGTAAAGTCAGTTCACTATGTTATCAATGACAGATAAGAGGGGTCAGACAGATATTCAGGCCAAAAGACTGCATAAACACAGCTGGAAAAATTAATGTATTCTTGTCTGCAGCGATTGGCCGTTCCTAAGATAAGGATGAGATGGATTTTTGGAGAATTATCTCATTGTGCTTGGTGATCAATGATGCAGAGGTGGAGGATTTCAAAACGTGACACTAAAAAAGGCATAAAGTCAGCTCAAAACACCTTGCACTATACACTGAGTCCAGGACTTAAACAGAAAAGCACAGCTCACATTGCCTTGGTGCCCAAACCGGAGGGTGGCACGGTAGTGTGGTGGGTCGCACCACAGCAAGAGGGTTCCTGATTCAAATCCCCAAAAACATCTTTGTTAGGTCAACAGAACAGTCTAAATTGCCCTTAGGACAAGTCAGGACCTAGACCAGACCCTGTCTGAGTTTGGGTCTATGGTTTTGTAGATTTTTGTAGATTTGAGAGGCCCCACATCATGGTGCTGATTGATCAGTTCCTGGTTGAGGAACCTGAAGGACATGTGTCTGTGTGTAATTTCCAGCCTTTGAGCATGTGGTTGATAAATTGTAGCCTTGACAGTTGGGTAGAAGATAATGCGGCAAAACCATGTCTTTTTTGTAAATCTGTAGATACAAAGTCATTTAAGGGTTCAGATATAAGTTATGAAAGTTTGAAAGTTTAAAAGTATATTCCAACTTTTTCTTTAAATGTAAAAAAAGTAACTGAATTGCCGAAATGCCAGTACACAGATCCGAGTTTATGTAAGACATAAAAGTTAAACCAAGTTCAACTTCCATTTGTTATAAAAATCATATTTTTCTGAGCCTAACAGAACATCTTGGCACCACCATTTTCACAAATACAGGAAATCAGTTGGTGAGTATCACCCCCTGGTGGAAGAAATTAAGTAGTCGGATTGGGTGACTTGTGACTCACCACATGTGTAGATGACGCTGAGGTACTTCCTGGTGCCAGCGTAACATGGATCTCCGAAGTCTCTGGAGGAGGCTCGGACCAGGCAGCTTTTCTTCCCCTGGCAGCGAGTAGTTAGAACCTGCAGGGCCACAGCGGACTGGCACTCTGGCAAACAAGAAAACATATGTTTCATAACACATCTAACAGAACAGCATAACCTGATTATCTTTTTACATTCTCTAGCCAACTAGAGGAATAGGAAACATTGTCTTTTTCAATGTCAGGTTTTATTTCTCAATTTATTTTTTGTATTTTTACCTGACAAATCTGGAGGAATTTAGAGGACAAATCCTCTACATATTTAAATTATTACAAATTAGAATTGATTATTCATTTGTCTAGATTGTTTGAACTTTAACAAGAACTACATAGAACTCCCCTTCTCAGCTCTCATGGTGAAGCCTCTGTCCACATCAGGCCCACATAGACAAACCCTCTGGGGGCCCTGCATTGTCTTATGGATACCTGATACAGCACATGTGTGGAGACAAGACAGAGCAATCGATGGCCCCCTCGCACATCATTACCAAACACATGCCAGCTACTCAAGAACCTCTCATCTGCAGCTCTCATCATCTGGGAAGTAGATAAACCTCTGAGGCTGATTTTGGAATGTGGACCTTTAAGACAAACAGTGCTAAATTACTGTGAGAGGCAAATGCTGCGTAAACAGAAATGCCATGTAACATCTTAAAGGGATGTTGATGGGCCTTGGTTTCACATGGATGCTTCTGGGGCCTTCAAGGTTCACCTCAACCTCTAAAAACAACACAAAGAAATGAGTCTTTGAAAGTGGACACTGCACTGTCACAGCGTCCACCCTGGTGGGCCTCACCGAGACAAAAATAAAAAAAAAAGACTGGTTAAGACTTGGCTAATATGTCAACAGTCCATAACAAATTATGGCCCAGGTCAAAGGGCAAATGTCACAGTCAGGAAGACGAGGGTAATCTTCTGGTTGTGAATTGTGTCAGCATTGGGAATTCCTTAAATGGTCCCTAATTGTGCAGGTTTGCTTCACATTTCAGATAGAGTACACAATAAGCCATGTTTATATTTGCAATAAAATTACTGTAATAAATCATCTTTGTTTCCAGGTGACAGGGCGCGCATTGCATGAACTTTTTTCACGTTGCAAGTTTTTCACTTTTGACATGGTTCATATGGGTACCCGGACACTCCCAGCTTGAGCTGACACACTGGAATTCCCAACCAGGATGTAATGGGGAAAAGCCTGTGGGAACCAGCAAGTGAAACAGGATAACAAGCAGCACACCTCAAAGGTTACACAGTTCTCACTGTCACTTCAAACACATAAACTCCTATGCGTAATCTGAAATTAGTCTCACTTAAGCTACAAAACGGTGTGTGCAGTTCAACAAACGACACTCCTTTACTATATAACTTGAATAGACGAAAAGGCATTGGAGAGGTCTAGTTACTTAACAAAATACCCACAAATAACTCTGTGGGGTGACCTCAGAGAAAGGTGCATAAACAAAGGCCCGTGTAATTTATGCTGTAAATAGGAGCAGCACATAACTCCTCACACATGACAACAACATGAAGGAATTATCCCATGATACATTACTTACTTCAGCTTATTTTAACCAAAGTTTATATTGATCTGGAAAATATTAGAATGTTTGCATTCTTTTTTTTTTCTTGACGGTAAGCGTCTGAAAGTGTTTTGTTTTCTCTTTTCGTACAATGTATAAAAGGCTTGCAGAGTTTCAACAGAATTACTGTGTAGCATATTAATATTTGCTTGGACAGAAGCAGCAGCACTTTACATAATCAAGCAAGGAGGTATTGGATTCAGAAGGTTCTTTTTTCCAGACAGCTGATCAGCTTTGATTCTAAAAAGTATCAAAAAGAAGTGCTTTGGTTTTTCTTTGTTATTGTTCGTTACATTTACAATGAACATTCAGGTAGTCTTTTGAAAAGAAATATTTACTGATTTCATCGAAAAACGTGTTGTCACCCTAATAGAATGACATCCTGCTTTTGGAGACGTGGTTTTATTTTTTCCCTTCCCATCTTCTACATCCCAGCGGGCGCATTTGAGCTTGTATTTTGTTTTGCCAAAAACTAAAGTGTTGTCCCAAACAAGCGAGTCCCCTCTCTTTTTGCTCCGCATTTGCTGAAACCTCGGTTCCCTGGTGGGCTGATTAGTTGACCACAGAGATTACAGAACATTTGCAGGGCTCAAGGAGTTCAGCAACTAATAGAGACTTTGTGATACAGGAATATGGAGACATGCATGTAGTCTTTCTCCACTAACTCAAACACACACACACACACACATTGTTTAAAGAAAGACCTTCCAAGGCCCTGACCTTTTCCGGGCCTCATTAGAGGTTTTAATCGAGATAGACAAGCGTACAACAGTCCTCGCTCTTATACACGTATGCATGCACACATGCACTCATACATGAGCGCATGAATAACCCTTGTTACCTGTAACCTTTACCCTCAGCTATTTTCCAAGCCTGTTCAACCACCCCTCTATCCTCCACACTCCCTACAAGGACAGGCCCATAGTTCAGAAGAGGGGGTCTAAAGTCAAGAAAATTAACGACGGAGAAAAGGGAGGCGTTTCCTGGACAAACATGCTTGCACACACTCACTGATACTCAGTGTTGTCTGTTTGTAAAAATGAAAGAAAGATTCAGATCACATGCAACAAGCTACGTATACGCCCACTTTCCCTTGATGTTACTGACTTTAAATGTTACCATCTTAGAGAGGCAATTCTAAGACGTGTCCACATCAGTTTCGGCTGCTTGATTCTCTGTGGTGCGTGTGTTCAAAGAGGGATAATATGCTTCCAGTACCAGTAGCGTCTAAGTTCACAACCTTTGATACATCAGTCATCTGCTGTAAACATCTCACGTTCTGCCGGATTGTAACAAGTGTCGATGCAGAATGCTGAGCTTCACATGTCATAGAGCCCTGATATTGCGACATAAAGACAGAAAACCAAGTAATATATGCTGGTATATGCCCTGGATGAATGTCTCACAAAGCTATCTGTGTTTTCCACTGACAAAACACATACACACACACACACACACACACGCACACACACACATCAACACAAAATATATCCATGGAAACCTCCAAAGGACTCTTCCTGCCTTTCCACCCACACACAGCTTTCCTGGAATTCAAAGACAATGGTAGGCTGTCACAGGTTTTCGTCCACTCTTTCTCTCTGACTCACCTCCTATAGAGAATGCATTTCTGGATAGGGACATTTATGTCATTAAATCTGAGTCATATGGGCAATGTGATACAGTTATATTGTAACAGATTAAAAAACTACTCAATGTCATCTGTGGATGCCTTTAAGGAATTTGAAACCATTCTCCCCAGCACACATTTACTGTCAATGTTTCTTTCCCCCTCATACAGGCTCCATCTGAACATACTTTAAGACCCCTAACACAATCAAAAGCGCAGATCTATGCAAAGATCTGTCCTTTGCTGTATGTGTATGTTCGTAGCAAGTTAAGCCTGAATAATTCAACAAATGGCAGAGACATCAGGTGTTTAAGACAGTCAACCCTGTGCCTGTGTGTTATCACTGAAGTCGTGCATGGACCTGCTATAATGCACTAACAAAAATCAGGAGACTACAATATCTCAACCACTTCCAAAACAGCAGCCATTCCTTTAGCATCAAAATGAAAAATGAGTCTGGTCTGCAATATCAAAGGCTGCAACATAATGTCATTTATCTGTTCTCTATTCACCAGAGCCATACTGTGTCTGACAGGAGTTACAATGGCAACAAAACAACCAAGCATCCAGAAGGAGAAGCAGTAAACTGAAACTACAGCTGTGTGCTTCTGGGTTTATAAGGAGTTATCGTGATTATTTGAGAGACCAATATCTTATTTGATGTAAACAAAAGTGAAAGCACTGGGGCCTTCCTGAAGCTACTTTTTAAAAAGTCTGAGATCCTGCATGTCAAGCATGGGGGGGCGTATTTAGATATCGAGAGGTGTGTGGGATGTTAAAGGTGGAGATGAGAGAGGAGAGCTGAGGCAGGCCTCTCCACTTTGAAAAGTCTCTCAACACCAAGAGCTGCCCAGCTCCACCACTCCCACCACAAAACCAAGGAAGAGACGAGATCAAAGAGGTCTTACTTTTGTGTGCACATACCTCCGTGCACGCTTCTTTTTTGTCTCGTATAAGGGCTTTGATTCAGGGGGCAACCAGGCAGCTGCTCTGAATCTCTGAATGGTAGTAAACAGACCACAAAATTCAAAATGTCATCAAACGTGCTTGGTTTTTAGACTGTGGCTCCCACAAAGAAGAATCTACAGTCCAAATCACTGGAGTTGCAGAAAACGCTGTAATAATCGGGGAGACGTTGCACAAGGAAACTTTAATATTCCTAAACACGACACTGTGAACAGTGGAAATGGGCAGGTGGCGCCAGAGTGTGAGCACAGTGCTCTGACACTTGCAGGAGGCAGCCATGAGCTTGCCAGTGAACTGAGGTTCTGCAGGTTACCACAACATGACTTACTAGCACATTAAAACACACAATCAAAGAAATAATAAATCACAATAGGTCAAACACAAACTTAGTGTAGCATAGTGTGCCATCAGTTACACGTGGATGGGTTAGGGTTAGGGTTAGAGTTAGGCAGATAAATAAGCTAAGCATCGCATTGCCCTTGGAGGGCTAAAACATTTGAAAGTAATTAACACTGTGTGTCCAAGCTGTCACTCAAGACACGCTCTCTTCCTGCTCTCGGTGACATGGGAGCCACATCAAAGATGGAGCTGACAGGGGAAATCCCACTATAGCACCACAAGTCTGTCTGGCAGTAGCCCGGGGTTGTGGTTGTGGGTGCCTGCAGTGCGCACACAGAGTTAGAAAATCATATAGTGACTTAACGAGAACAAAAAGGCCCATCCAGATGGGCAGTGGTTATTAACCCACGCGGAGTTGATTCGTCACAATAAACACCACTTCTCGTAGCTCTGATCTCACTCCATTTCCCATCACTGCTCAGAGCTACTGTATTCAATCCCGAGTCTGAAACCAGATATGAGACCATCCCAGTCCCACCTGCAATCTCTACCCTCTGTGCATTCCTGATCCACCTGTAGGAGGAGACAGCTTCAAAGTAGCCCTTAAAACCCATGTAGAGTACAATAAGATGTATACACAAAGCCCGTCCTTGGATCTATCTCTGATTACGTGATGACTGACGCCTGTGTCAGCCTCTCAGCCCCATTCTGACACCTCTATCATAAAGGTGCTTCAATACACACACACAATGAAATTGCCGTCTTTCAGCCTTCCATTCATGCTTTCCATCTCACATTCCTGCACATATTTTGTCATGATTTGTAGGATTCTGCCGTTGAAGTAACATGCGCCCTTGCCTCTAACTTTAACCATCATAACTTCAGCCAGACTTTGACATAAATCTCCATATAACTCTAAAATCCGTCTGTAACCTGAAACGGCCTTTAGAAATGATGTCCAGTATTTAGGTCCCTACAGGTTTTGTGGGCCCCCAGTTTTCAGTGCAGGGAAGCTGTAACAAGAAACAAGTACAGCAATACACACATATCAGGTGACTTACACCGACTCCCAAACTACTGAAACCGCTATAGGCAACTTATTTACAAACATCAACCTCATAGTGCACTTCTGTCTTTGCGTGAAGAAAAGAAATAACTGAGAAGAATGAATTGGATGTCAGGCAAAGGGACAGGGACAGGTATTCTAAAGTCCCTCATAGATCCAAGCTTAGAGTCATTAACATTCCCCTAAACAGGGACAAGTGTACATCTGAATATCCCATGCACACACACACACATTCATACTGGTCAGGAACTCAATATGTCCCTTTTCTACGGGCCAAAATCTGTGCTTCAGTTGACATCTGATCTACATTCCACCCAATTCCTCTGGCAGTGTGTGAGTATTTGTGTGTCGTCTTTCCCTTAGCCTGAGTGGCGGTTTTATATATCTCAACGGGCGATGAGTGGTGATATCCTTCTGAAAGTTCAATTATCTATGCGACATTTCTGGGGAAAATGCAAACAGGTAGGTAGGGCATCACGGTCCCTCCACGTCTGAGTCAAAGTTGCTGCAGACAAAATGATGAAGCCGTAGCACATCATGACTACATCTTCAGTTTATATATTTAAAAAAATACAAGCCTGAACCAGAAATTCAGGAGTTATTAATTTCCCGCAAGCATTTGACACATATTTTTTGTGGTTCAGAAGTTTGAGTTCAAACGCATCTCATCAATACTGCTGAATTTTTCATCTGCTTGGTTTAACAACTTCTAGCATGCTTTTGCTCACATAGGTGTCTTGGCAATAATGATAAAAAAAAACGTATCCTCAGGAAACTCAAGAAATTAGCATATATCAGAAAACTGACAGGAGACTCATTTTTTACATACTTCAGGCACAAGCTAAAAAAAAAAGCAAAGGTCCTAAATCAACAACGTGAGATTGAGAGGATCTCTCACCTACTGATGGGGCCCTCCTGTGGTGAGGGGGGCACTCCAGTGTGCCCTGCTGAGTTCGGCCAAACATGGCGGAGTAAACAGCAATCTGCATTCCCCGTTTGCAGCTCAGCCTCATCCTCTCCTCCTCACAGACCACCTTACTCTTATACTCATCTGTTGATAGGAAGAGATAGCTTGAATACTAATTATACAGCAAACAGTTTCCCATAGCAATAATTAATGCAATGAATTCAAATTAATTAAAATGTAATATAAAATAGCTTTGTAAGTCATTACTAAATTTTTCATTTGATAACATTTATGTCAGTATATCGTCAGCACAGAAAAAAAGTGTGTTTTCTTTCAGGCAAAGATGGAGAAAGAGTTCCTTGGTGGACATGTAGAGCCATGCAGAGGCATTCCTCATACACAACCAGCCAAAATGACCTGTGACAGCAAGGAGCAGCTCCACTGGCCTGAAAATTAAAACACAACGGCAGCCATTTCTCCATCTATGTGGGGAGTGGAACAGGAATGCACAATGAAGAAAGAGCGTAGAAAATGGGCAGGATATTTCCTGCTCCTTCTCTCCCTCAAACACTCTGTTTTCCATCACTTCCTCTATCCTCTGTCCACCTCTCCTTTCAAAGGCAGTGACACCTGCACGCTGCACCTCACTAACACCCAATGCTGCCTTTCTTTCTTCCCCTGAGAAGTCATTGGTTAAGTGACATTGAACAAAAAGCTGTTGATTGGACCGAGGTCCAGAGGAGAAAGAAAAAGTGGGGGGGGGGCAGGGGGATCAGTGGATTAATGCTCACTTGTGGTCACTCTAGTGAAAAGTTTTACAGCTCATTGCAGCATGGCTCAACATAGCCCTGAGCTTCGAGTGGATGCTGGAATCTGGGTGGGATTACCACACTGTTGTGGCTCACCTCCAGAGTCACACTCTTTTCTTCCTAACTCGCATAGGAGCTGAGGTACAAGGGAAAAGCACAGAAAATACACACTACTTTTTCGGAATGGACAAAGAAAAAACCTGCCGGGGGTCTTCAGAGACATCTACTATTCGGTCACAAAGATTTGGAAATTTTCAAAAAGAACACAAGGAAAAATAATCAGTCATGTTTTGGCTCCTGCTTTCATTTTATGGCATCATGGCCAAACAAAAACGTCCAGAAAACAAATCAGAACTCTGGCAGTCAGTGAGGTGTCCATGTTTGGACTGGGTTTCTACTTTGTAATCCAAATTTAGAGTTTGGAGTAAAAAAATGCAGGCAACTTTAAATATTGCTCATGGTAGTTAATATAGATATTTTTAGATGGTAGTAACTGCTGTGATAGTTATTGAAACTCCATCCATCCATCCATTATCAATACCACTTATTCCCTCATGGGGTCGCGGGGGGAACTGGAGCCTATCCCAGTGGTCAACGGGCGAGAGGCAGGGTAAACCCTGGACAGTCCGCCAGTCCATCGCAGGGCCACACAGAGACATACAAGGACAAACAACCACTCACATTCACTCCTAAGGGCAATTTCCCCAATCTCCAATCAGCCTAACATGCAGGTTTTTGGACTGTGGGAGGAAGCCGGAGAACCCGGAGAGAACCCACGCAGACACAGGTAGAACATGCAAACTCCACCCAGAAAGGTCCTGGTTCCCCCGGGATTCGAACCCAGAACCCTCTTGCTGGGAGGCGACAGCGCTAACCACCACACCATCGTGCCGCCCAGTTATTGAAACTTTCAATCTAAAAAGAAACTGACCCTGCAGAAAAGGTGCTTTTTGGGTTGTTGTTTTTTTAGCAAAAAACAAATATAGTATAGTATTGTTAGTATAACAATGCTGCATTTTTCTTAATGTTCATGAACAGACCCCACCCATGTGCATATCTGTCCAAAGGCAGTGCAGCGTGAGAAAATAGAAAGAGTCCAAGCACAGCGAGGGGATGAAATGTTTGTCACTGTCAGAAAACAGGGCGATGAGGGACTTACTAGGTCTGCATTTGTACCAGACAATGAGGTATTTACTGCTGCCAGGACACTGGTCCGTCCCAAACACGCGGCTGTTGACAAGGATTTGACAGCTCCTTCTGTCTTGGCACTCGTCCAGCATTTTCTAAAGAAGGAAAGAGTCACATAGAGTGGGAGAAGACCAAAGAGGGGTTTAGTGGGAGAACAATAAACCAACGACGGTGAGACCAGTAGACTGCAAACCTAAAACCACTTCAAACAAGCTGCTTATATCCATGGGAAGCCAAGGTAAGTAAAAACTCTGCAAAGCTTCACTCCTCTCATTTCCTGACATTGCTTTGCTTCTCTAGTTTCATCAACTTTTAGCTTGCTGTAACCCAGGTGAGAACATTCCAACCCATAACAGTATCCCAGAGTCAAATCCTTGTTCTTACAGGAATGACTACAGGGATTCTCTTCATTCTTCCAGGAACTCCACTTTATACAATATGGTTTATGTATAAGATAGGATGAAGATAGGACGTGTGCAAATCCCCCCGAAAATATTATGAATACTCTAACTGAGTAGATCTAATGATCTGTTCAAACTTGAGGAATAAGTCTGGTGATCTCTAATTCCTTACTCTTAGAGACTATAACCAAATATCTTTAAAAAAACAACAACATATTGTAACATCCCATGTTCAAAAATGTAAAAACTGAAGTCTGTTGTTTCTAATTTGTTTAGAAATTGGTATTCTACCATATAAATGTATTAAAACAGATAACAGCAGCATTAGCATGATACAAAAAACACCACCATACACTCTGTCTTTGAATTAATTCTGCAAAATCAAGTAAGTCACATTATAGGTGTCCACAGTGGAAATCACTGCAAAAGTTGGTGGTGCGTCTGCCAATGGGAGTATTAATATTTCGACAAAAAATACATATCATCCAGAAATACTAATAATTTCTGTGGCTAAAAGTTCAGTTAAAATGGGTTTAAATCAAACAGAAATCTTTCCAGTGGTGTGTCAAGTGACTTTCAGACAAAGTGCAGCCTAAAGACCCCTTATGCTGAAAAACGTAGAAGGAATCAGTGTTCGCGCGCCCAATCCAAAAGTCTTGAACAGTTGGCATAATAGAATTCTTAAATGGGTGTGCTCTATGGGTGGCAGTCAGCAGTGAGCCTCTTACTTCAGTACAATGCACCCACTGTGACTGTGTATTCATGGCTGTCCTGTCTATTATAGAAATAGAGGGTGTTTCACTCTAAAAGGCAAAATACTAAGAATAAACCTCACAACAGACTGAGTGCTGAATAGGTAGTGTTTGAGCTGGTGCTGACAAAAAAAAGGGTCTTCCAGTCCGGCCACATCCTAGTTTAGTCAATGCTAGGGCAAAAACTCCATGAAATCGCATTGTGTCAGAAGAGGGTACAAGCCTGTTTACTCTTTAGAGAGTGTAATTTGCTGGAAAACATCCTCACAAAGCATTACGTAATCCAAATATTAACAATTTGACCATTTTACGGGACACATTCTCCCTGGGAAATTTGCAGCTCAGGCAGAAAGGTTTGTTTGTGTGGAAAAACAGGGGGAGAAATATGAGATATCAGCCAAATATGAGATGAAATTCTAGTCTGAAGTAAACAAGAGCGACATGTAAAAATCTGAGTAACACAAGACAAGTATTGGTCGTTATGGGAAAAGGAGGTTAGAGCTTGGTTATTTACCTGTAGTGCAGTTGACACAGAACAATACTGATCATGATCCTGAGTGCGACGTGAACTTAGGAGGGCCTGGTAGGTCTGAGGGCACTGCTGAGGACCAGAGCCACCTCTTCTTCCATAGAAAGCTGACTGGACCGTGATGGTGGTGCGTTGTGGGCAGCGAATGGACAGGAAGTCTCCGTCACAGGCCTGCTCAGAGTAGTTCCTCAGCACTTTGGACAGATAACCTGTGACACAATGAGGATGCAGAACTGTTACAGACTAAAAAGAGGGTGACAACAGGTGCTAAGACCAAATGTCTGAGAACGCTGATGGGTTTTTAACATTAAAAGTAAAGGAAACTGACAAACTGAAACAAACAAGAGGTATCTTTTCACTAACTTTATTGTGTTTTACAGAGCAGCTTCCTGGCCCGTCAGTCACTTAGGAAAACTGAACACATCACAAAGACACTATTAACATTCCAGTCTGAGAGAATGAAACCCAGATAAAGGAGCAAACTGATCCCTCGGCCACTGTCATAAAATGTCTAGCTGAGCTTATCTGGCTCACTTACGAGCCAACCGCCACGGAAAACCTGCTTGAATGCTCAGCTCTGATTCTTCTATTCAGAATATTTCCAAAATGCCTCTTCGGTTTAAAATGAGAAGGTTTGTCAAACCGAAGAAAGCGCTTTTTTTCTTCATGTGCCAGCAGATACTTTTATGCACTTCTCCACAGAACGTCCAAAGTGAGGTCAAGCTCTCTTCTACAGTAAGAGCTTCGCAAATACATTTACTGAAATGTAAACACACACAAGCTCACAAACACTCACAAAGTGGACACACTGGGATTCAATTACCCTTATTTAGTTAGCGTTTGTTGGAAAAGAGGAAATAACACAGAAACAGTTCTCGCTAAAACATTGTCCTCTTATCACCGTGGTCACAGTTAAAAAAAAGGCCGGAAAATAAGGGACATTCTCAGGGTTTGAAAGGTCAGCCGCTCTCTAAATAGAAGTAGTTATTAAACCAACGTTTCTCCCACCACAGGTCTCCACCTGTGGTTCTGCAAACAGGTGCATACGCAGTCCAAATTTATTTAGAAATTACTCTAATACCACCAATCATATCACCAGAAAACAAATAAGATTTTTTTTTCTTACTGTGGTTCACATATACGGATTTAAAATATATTTCCTAACTTTTAGAGCTGGATCCATTGCCTGTATTTATGTATTTTCTGTAAATGTGAGACCGAACGACAAAAAGCCGATCTTTAAATAAACATATATGAGAACATCAGCATTCCAGTTGACCTGAGGAGAGATTTGTCAGTTCAACACTTAGAGCCCATGTTGAGCAACTTCTGAATGGCTCACAAGTTACACTGCGGTATCATTATTGCAATTTTGAGTCTCTTAATTGTGTGTGCTTAGCTAGTTTCTCCCCTCCCCAGTAATCCCTCGCTAGCACACACCCCTATCTGCTTTGCATGTCACATTCCACACAGGGTCAGAAGGAACTTGGCATTCCCCCTGGCAGTGGGACCACACACGCACAGACACAAGCACGCATACGTACATTCAAAATATCAGCACAAACAATGTGGGTCCAGACAAGCCTGCTCGGCTCTTGAAGCCGAAGTGTGTGGTGACAGTCTAACAGTATCACATAACCTGAAACTGGTTCATGGCAAAGCCACTATACCATGAGAGGCCACTGGTTTGTCTGGTCAGGAAGACCAGTTGTCTGAGTTTGTGTCACAATGGAAAAACGCAGTTATGATAGAGGATAAAAATGATCCAGGATAGAGCTTCATAGAGCTGTCATTGTGCAACAAGTCGAACACCACAAACGCTCCTCACCCCACCCTTTCAAAGGGGAGCTGCGAGTAAAAAGCAAACAGATTATCGCACACAAACCCTCAGGTGCTTTCTAAAGAATCTATTCCGTCTTTTCCACCATCCCACCCTTCTCCCATCCCCTCTCTCTTCCTCAGGATCGTCACCATTGTTTCCTTCATGCTACCTGTTGACTGAGACCTCCTTTCAAGGCCAACAAATCAGGCAACGTTAAGGCACCTGTGGAGACCGCCCAGCCAATGACAGGTGTCCCTCAAAGGCAGAAGGCTGAATAACGCTAGAGGAACACCCAGGCTTCTCTCTCTTCCTCCCTTTTCTTTTCATGTGGGGCCAAACTCCTTCTTTAACTAGCTCTCTGCCCTTTCCTTTCACAAAAGCGCCGCACTATTTTGTCTGCCGGTCTGTTTGTTCACCCATTAAAGGACAGGAGGTTGCGGTTGAGATGCTGCTCTTGTACAAACAGCTCGCTCCTGTCATGAATTGCACTGAAAGGTCCATTTCTAATCTCAGCACAAGCAGCAGTGGGATCTCTTATGAAAACAGACATAGGCGACTGCACCTGCTGTCTGTATTTACAGTCTAACACAGATGGGATCTTGTCATGGGATCCAGCTTCTCCTGTAAAGACCACAAATCATAACGCTGGAAAAATCAGTGGCCGTGGTGTTCTTTAGCTCCTCAGTTGTGGTCATGTGATAATATTTAAGTTGGACTCTTTGAGGGAGGAGGCTGGGCATGATGGAGATTAGTGATGAACCACTGTGTTGTATCAACATGATACAGCTGGAGGCCAACGTGAAAGATTTCCTCCTTGAAATCAATCATTCAATTACAACATGATGCAAAAGTGGTGGCGGTTAAATACACTTAAAGACATGATATTATCACATTTACTGTATATTCCGAGGAGCGTGATCATCCCCAATTTACTTGTTTATATTATCAGGTAAACTAAGTTTCCTCATGGTTCACTAAGCTGGAGTGTTCAGCATCTGCTCTAATGAGCATGGCACTTATGAAACCAGGGTGGAGAAACAACAGGGGTTTGACAATGCTCTAGTCTTTCTTCTCGTTTTAAAAGATGCAGACTGTTACAATTGGTCAGCCTAGCATTAAGTATAATGGACGGGTTATTACAGTTAAGGCTTAGTGCTGCTTCTTACTCAGCTGATTACTCTTTAACTCTGTTTTATGTGCTCGTGAAGTAATGCTCAGAAAGCCTATTGCATTGCTCAAGAATGTATGATATTGTAGAATATTATAAGATTACAGCACGACTTAATGCCACAAAAGTGCCTGTTTACATTGCAGTTTAGAGATAATCAACATGCAGTTGCTGTCAACAGTAAGATCATGCAGATCCACTCAAAGTAAACTGGTAACAACACACCAAGATGCAATAATAACCAAGAAATCCCAGGGGTTTTTAGTACTGCAAAATTATAAGGCTGCATTACGTTTCATCTAGGCACATTAGGTATTTAGGCATTTACTGCTTCATAACTTTATTGGTGTTATTTTAGGCAAATTATAGCCATCAACCCATCAAATGTTCAAAGAAACAGAGTTGCAGGCCTGCTTTAGGAGAAGGAATTCCCTTTAAGTGGTAATTTCTGGTAAGAGTTGAGGTTTCCCTGAAAGAAACAGGCCAAACTCTGGCAACACTCAAGAGGGAGGGAGGGAGGGGGAAGAAATACTGAGGAAATTCTGCATAATAGAGAAGCAAAGTGGTTGATATAGAAAAAGAGAACACGTGTAACTGGAGAGATGAAGACAGATCTCTTTTTTAAAAGAAAAGCCATTTACAGGATGTGGCAACCGAAGGCTAAAGGCCAGCGCCAGTGGCTTTAGGCCTTGTAGTAATTACTTTCCTCTTAAACCACTGAGGCAGCACAAAGGCCCGCAGCAGGGCATAACTTTCAGATAAAACAACCACCGGTTGTAAATCATATGTGGTCAAAACTCTACATTCAACCCTTTACACCTGAGGTGATGGTTCTATTCAGAAAGCTCAGTGACATAGGTTTATGAGGCGTGCTGACATGAAACTGGACCTCGAAAAATACAAAAGTCTGGCCTGATGTTCAAAGGTTGACACAACAGCAACATAAAGGAGATGATGTCGAAGGAGTGTGACGAGTAACTAATTCTGTGCACATGCCAAGTACAGTCTTTATTGTTAAGCCATTCACTTTTGAGACTTTGAAAAATGCATTCCTAAAATACATTGCATTCTTCAGCACACAGTCCATTAGTCTTGCCATTCTAATCATGTCTTGGATTAGCCCACTTTCTTGCAAATCACACAATAGAGCAAAGAAAGCATGGGGCATGGAGACAGACTGCGACCGATGTGGAGACTTTTAGAGGTCTCATTGATTATGTTCACACTCACACATACAATGGGCATGACCTGAATACATTCATAACACACACTACTGTTACTCAACTACTAAAGACACACGCAGAATGTGTGGGCTGAGGAGCATTACGTTCTTTAGCCTGGTCCAATTAATTTAACTGTCTGTAAATTAAACTTAAAATCAATCATCAGAGAGCAAATGGGTGATGGGTGAGTCAACAGCAAACTCAGAAATTAAACTGAGAGAAGATTATTGTGCTGGTGACTATTGAAAATCATTCATATGAATGATGTGAAATTAATCCCATCATTGACTTGAAACATGAGATGTAACGTAGCCTTCACTGGAACTGAACACTTCCCCTCACTGCAAAGAGCCTGAGCAGCTGAAGCTATTAAAGCCAGAGACACAAGCACAAAAACTCTTTCTGCCCAATCCTGTCCTCCGTCTTATTTCAATACACACATGCAACCACAAACACACACAAATAAACCAACGACGGAATGCAGGAATGCCCTATCGTCAACCTGGTGGAATTTTTGTTTCATCACTTCTGAAATCAAGAGCAGCAGTCTCTTTGGTTGTTTCATAGCCAAAAAAAAGAAAGGAAAAAAAAGACAAGAGAAGAGGCTCAAAAGATCTAAGAGAAAATGGAGGAATGTCACATGCTAAGTCAGGCACATGTCAGGAGTCCGTGCTGCAGAGACACATGAAAACAACTCCTCTTTCTTGTTCACAAATGCACTTAAGTAGTCGTTTCGAAAAAACCACAGGAAAAGCTTAAACCGACACTCAGTCTAACTCAATCATGTTTGCACAAGGCCAAGCTTCAATTTTCAGGTTATCCACTTTAGCCTACCCCTGCAGGCAATAAGAGGCTGTCCACCTGTTGGCCTGTTATCCTAAAGGGGAAGAACTGGTATAAAACATCTGCCAGCTTAAAGATGTCCACACAGTCTGACAGTAGCCACTAAGACTCCCCCAGGGGAGTCTCCAAACTCAAACACTGGTCCCATCCAAGCCCTCCCACGCCCTCTGTTAGC